AATTGTATATATATATATACATTATGATGTATATATATAGGAGCGGATAGCACAGTGTAGTGATGTCTGTCATCACGAGCACAGTGCTAGTTCGATTACGCTCCGACCCAAACAAGCCCCTCATCACTCCGGGCTTGGGGAATTAGTAGCGGACTTGTCTGGGAAAAACCACTCTTTGCAATCCAATTAGGAACGCTCCAGCCTGGCTATCTCAGGACTTCAGGGAGAATCGCTCGACCAGTATTCTCCAACATTCAAGATGAAATGGAAACCTTCAAACAGAAACCGAAGCCACGCGTAAAGAGGAAGGTTCTCGTGAAAAATGGACGTGAAAATGGAAACGAATCGAATGTGAGAAGTGCTGGGATTCGCACAGTAGACGTGAAAGACGGATCAAATAAAAAACTTTAAAAATACGTAGTAATGCAATTTAAGGTTTCTTAAGACATCAATTTCATAGGAATTTCCTAACTAAGAAATTTATCAAAGCAGTGAAGGCAAGCAGTGGCGAATCTTTAAAGTTCTACATTGGAAAAACTCACAGTGAAGGTAGGAAATAACCCAGAAGGTTCAATAGGGACCCTAGGAAGACGTTATCTATCGGGACGTGTAACAAAAAAAGATTAAATGTCTTATGAAATAGCCTCAAAAAGTCACGGGCACACTGAAGCGGCTTCACTGAAATAAAATAGCCGCTCGCTCGTCATCTCGTAGTTTTGCACAGAAGAGCTTTCCAGGAGACGCTTTTTTCGTACACAACAAAAGAAAACCTTCCTATAGCTCTTGGTGTTTCCTTGTCGTTACCCTTAATGATGATTATAAACATATAAGCACATCTTTGTATCCTCAATGATGCAATGTCGTTTCTCTAATGGCAAACTCAAAAGAGAAAAAAAGTGCTGACGGATTGTGAGATGACGAGCCAGCGGTTATATTATTTCAGTGAGAGCCGCTTCAGTGTGCTCGTGATTTTTCGAGGCCATAAGGAATTTAACCCCTCAGCTGAGAATTACATCTCGCAAGTTGTTTTTTTATGTTACGCATTTCAATAGATAACGTGTTTCTAGGGCCGCTATTGAACATTATGAGTTATTTCCTACCTTCACTATGAGCTTTTCCAATGTAGAACTTTTTAGTTTCCTTATTTTTCTTTTTTTTAAGCTCTAACTACGTCCTGATCATCACATGTCTCTTCTTGAGTGAAGAGTAAAACGAAAACACCTGCGAGCCTACTGAGTTTTATAAAATAAAACCAATGCCAGTGTAATAAGTAGCTTAAGTATTGTGGATGCTAGTATGTTAGTTAATCGAGAGGATGATTACTGACTGGATTAATTTAATTAAAGTGATATTTATCTACATAAAGAAGAATTCGATATAGTACTAACTAATCCAGCTCTACTGTACAAAGTCATTATTACAGCTCTCATGACGTTGATGTACAGTGTTTTTTTCTGCACCCGAGTGTGTGTGTGTGTGTGTGTATGTATGTGTATGTGTATGTGTATGTGTATGTGTATGTGTATGTGTGCAAGTTTCCTCTTCTCTATAGCTGCCTGGCCGTATCTGTGTGTCTCTGCCTGTACATTTGTCCAGCTTTTTCTACCTACGTATGCCTATCTGTACCTCAGCGTTTGTATGTCTATATATCTGCGGGTTGTGTGGGTGTGATAAGCTTCATGTTACCAACAATAGTAGATCTCTTCAAAGTCCACTTCGACGTCTGGTACAGCGATTTTCAGTCTCTTCTCTAATTCGATGTGCGCTTTGTTCTGTAAACAAAATCGTCCCTATCAAATTCTTTTGACCCATAAATATGTTAGCATGGTGACCTTGAAGAAAAGGCGGACTTTACTGCTAACCTGCAAAAATTGTAGACCCCGTAGTGTACACTGACCGGCGATCTCCAGTTTTTTCACGTACAACGTTTCCTTAGGCAATCTTGTCGATTTCCTTATCTGAAACAACAACAAATGTTAACAATATGAGACGATGAAATATTACAGGACTATGGTCGGTGCTTCGGGCTAGGTGGACAGGTTATACTATTTTTGGGGGTTTTCATAATAAAGTAGATTTTACTTTTTGTTATTAGTTGTAATATTATAGAAATCCTACACCTAGGCAGGAGTAATGTAATTAGGTGTTGAAGTACAGTATCTAATAGGCTTCCATCCCTCAATAGTATCATTTCAGGTAGAGGTCGACACTCAGAATTTGGTAGACGAAGGGAAGGGAGACCTACACCACTGACAGGACCTTGTGAGACACATTATATTAATTCCGATTTGTCACTTAAGATGTTCATCGCTTCTGCCAAAACTAAGGAAAATTCACTTCTAAATGGGTTGGAATTACACAAAGATATCGAAATTTTCAGTAATTGGTTCATATGCAGTATTTGTCTAGTTTTGACTGCCGTTCTGTCGAATCTGATTTTCACAACTGAGGACTTAAACTGAGTTGAGTGATCCGGATCGTACCCAAGTGAATATTTTTAGAATTAAAATTTAGAATAGAATATCGAGTTTTCTATTGGTTGTAAGTTGAAATTATTGTTTCGGATGATCCAGTGGAGTGTTCCCACTCTTTCTTGTTGCTTTTGTTCCATAGCATCTTCTTTTACGATGGTGGTCCCACGTTTTTTAGTGACCTTCTTTGGCGTTGACAACTTCTGAAAAAATTGCAGTTACTTCACAAGAAGTCTAGATTATATATGTAGTGGGATTAAGTTGAAGTAAGCTGGACTTTTATCTTCTTTTGTTAAACAAGCAAAGAGAGCTAATAGTGAAGTGATAGCGATGCCGCACATCGTGAGCACGGTGCTGGTTCAACGAACCAACCTCTCTCTCCATAGGATAACCAGACATTCGATTCCTCCAGGGTAGCGAAACTGGTACTATAGTGGTTTTGTTCGTATTTTTTTGAGCAAACGCGAGGTGTTATTGTTCTCTGTTCACGACTAAGGTGACGTTTCGGCGAATTTCGCCTTCTTCAGAGCCTGGAAAGGTCAAGTTGATAGCAACTCACTCGGCCAGACGCCTCCATAACCAGACAAAGAAACCCCAAACCAAGATTCCAATCACTTTGAACACAGCTTTGCACACTCACCGCTTTCTATGAGGTCTCCACTAAGTATGTCACGTAGAGACCAACCGCACAGAAATCACGTGGAAGTATAATGTGCCCCTCACATCAGAAAAGCAGTTTTATAAACTGCCCTATATCACGCGTGATAATGAGGCATTCTTCCCTGCGGTTCATTTTCGGATTTCTG